CGGGGGCGGTGGGCTGCAGTCTGCACAACCACCTCCTCCTCCTCCTCGGCGGGGAGCCTGCGGGGCCGGCTGGCGGGGAAATGGCGGGGAGCTCGCCACCTTTTGCGGGCAGCAGTGGAGAGGGAGCTCAGCCGTCGTTGGCTTCGGGGTGGGTGTTCTTTCGTTATTGTTGTTGGGTTTTGTTTGGTTCGTTTGCTTTGTGGGTGGCTTTCTTGTTTGGTTTGTTTCGTGGGGTTTTTTTTCCCCTTGTTTTAATAAGAAACCATTTTTGACGTGCTGGCTTCCTCTGCAGAGCTCTGTGGGCTCCAGTCGCCGTTCGGTCTGATACATAAAACCCTTGAGAACTGAAGAGCAGATAGGCTAGGAGTTGTCAGTCTTCATGGGAATGAAGCGCAAAGCATTTTTTTAGACAGGCCCTGTAGGTCAGGACCTCTCTTTTTATTAACTAAGTCAGTGACCCGAAAAAGTCCTTTTAAGTTGAGCTTATAGTATTTATTTGCAACGTGTTATGCAGCGCCTCATCTTTAATATTGTAATTTTGAAATATATCAATAATACTAATGCAAAGTCTGAAGTAACGTTTCAGAATATGGGATCTTTAGGTCCTCCTAAATCTTACCTTGCCTGTCAGATTTGTTATAGCTGTGTTATGTTAGTATTCTGGCTGCATACTTCTTAAAACTTAATGTAGTTTCTCTCAGGAACCGTTTTTTAAGTATATTTGGAAAAAAAAAAAAAAATCTAAAACACACCCCCCCCCGCCCCAAAAAAAAGCCACAAACACCAAACCAAAACCCAGCATTCTCCACTAATAGGTCCACTGTTATGCTGGTCAGCAAATTCAGACTAGAAAACTAAAGCCACTGTCTTTAGAAACCACCCTTAATGATGAAACAATTTTTATTACTCATGACATTTTGTCAAGGTTCTTTTATGCTACTGATCTAGGTACCTAATATCAAAGTGGTTTAGTAGAGGAGCAAGATTTTGGTTCTTTGGAATAATAATTCTTTTTGTGTTGATTTCAAAATTTTCTGACACTCAGATCTAAGAAAATGTCAGTAGCAAAGACGTGCAGAGTTGACTGTAACCTCCATTTTCAACTCATCCTTCAGTTGTGTAAATTTTTTGGAAGGAGTCACACAGAAGCGCATGGCTATCAAACATTCAAAGTGCCTCTGCTGCTAGCAGCTTCTGAGAGGGCATAGCTAATTTTGAGCACAGCGTTCTTGATGTCAGTGTAAGTGTTACAGGAAACAAGATATCAATGGCATATATCCCTGTGCTCTAATTTTAGTAGTCCTTGTAATAAAATGTCAGGATGGTACTGGGGAGAGTGGACTTAACCTTCCAAAAGTGGTTTGTTTTTTTTATGTAATGTGTTTGTGGCGTCTTTTTTTGCAATCAAATGAGCTTTATTTTACCTGAAAGATATTCAGATCCTAAAAAAAGCTGATTTATGTGGGGCAGTGGTGATTATGCTAATAAAAGAAACTGCAAGCTCAGTGAGACTTACATTTAAATGTACACATACATTGAATTCTGGTATTGGAGTCTCCATGATTCTACTTAATAAGGAAGTGACTTTTTTCAACTTAAGATACTGAAACTTGACATTGTTCAGTTTTTTTTACGCTTTATGATTCATTATCTGTGTATCCGTAACTTTTCTCTTTTTACAAATAATGAGTTTCTTTTACTGCAAATTTTGTAGACTGCTAGGAGTACTCGGTGTTTTACTACAGTTAACTACGACTGGCATGTAATTTAGTAAAAGTTACTGTGCAAGCACTTACACCTTTTTCATTCACTTGAAATGACCCAGTAATTAGCCCTGCATATGATGGTGACCCTCATGCCTGCAAGCAGAAACCTATTCTGACTAAATAACCTGTTGACTAAATTGAATTCTTCATATCCAACTGGACAGACTACAGTATGATCGTAGGGCCTAATATTTCAACTTAATTTTGCTCTAATTATTGTGGGTATCTTAAGCCTAAATACTGCTCTTTCTGTGTGTTTGTGACTTGCAGCACGTATAAAAAACTCCCTGTGGTTTGTTGAGCTCTCTGAAAGTTTAACAATTTGTTTGTACATTGTAGATTATACACAAGTATATGCCATTTTACAGTTAAAAGTGTAAGAAATTTACTGTTGTTTAGTGAACCCTCAAAGAACTATGAAGGGATTTGAAATATTTTCTGTTTCCAAATGTGTTCCTAGTTCTTTCAGATGTTTTCATGGGTCAGCTTAATGTATAGACTTGGTAAACCTAAACACTACACAGTCCAAAATCTGCACAGAATTGTATTTAGACTGATGACAACGATGTTTTGCTGTATTTTGGTTTTAAGACTTATTATGTAGCAAAGAGGAACAAATTGGAAAGGAAGTCAATAGTGCCATGTAAGTAAAGGAAAAGGACTGGATGTAAAGTGTGCAAAGAAGAACGTTGGGAAAGTAAGGAGTGATGATACTGTAGAAATATACTATTCTGTCGAAATTCTTGGCAGATATGTTGGCGCACTTTCTTCCTAACATAATTTTAAACTGTGATTTGGAATTATGGAATAGAAATATCTAGTCCTCCTGATCAAGTGATTTTATCTTTTTTTCTTGAGGTTTTGAACTACAGTTTCGATTGGGCCCGACTCTTCAAGGCAAGCCTGTTACTGTGTACACAAATTATCCAGCTTCTGGAGAAGTATTTGATCGCCACAAGTTCAGGGCCCTGTCGTGGCACAATCCCACAGGAAAAGAAGATGACTCTGACAAATACTGCAAGCTGGATCTCCTGATTTCTGGGTCATACCAGTACTATTTCAGTCTTGGGTAAGTAAATTTTTATACTGCTAAGTGCAGTCTGCTCCACTGATCTACATTTTAACCCGAAGAAATCACTGTTTAGAATAAAACCATTTTTTCCGTGTGTTTTTCAAATTGCAACCATGACGCCTGTCTGAATCTGCTAATGAAAGGCAGTAGCTGTGGTGGTGGTTGAATACTTTCTGATGTTCTCTGTATTCTCCAGACTGAAATTCATCAATTTTTTTGTGAATGTTGGAAAGGAAAGCCGTTTTTAAGTTTTCAAAGTTAACAGCATTCTGAATGATTAATTTGTACTTTCTTCATTGACTTAGGCAGTTGTGTTCTGCCTTTCTAGCACAAAGGTTCAGGCATTCTTTACTTCACATTTTTACTTCCTCCTTTGCTTCAACAGGACAAGTGCAGAAGAGAATGTCAGTATCTGTAATGATTGTAGTCTGATATTCTGAGTTTCTGGAAGATGGGTGGTTAAATTCCTTCAGACATAAAAGGGCATTTAGCTCGTATCTTCCTGAGGATGGTGTTCCAAATGGAGGTCTTTGATGGGCAGTAATGCTGTCTTTGTTTCTGTCCATATCCTAAAAGGAGGTACCAGTACTCTGTCTCAGAATATAAGGTATCTCACTTCTGCAGAGAGTTGAAATCTCTGTATCCCAGTAGTGTTGTTTTAAGTCCAACAGAGAGATGATGCCTAAGAGATGAACACCTCTTGAGTGTTTCCTGTGTTATTCAGGTGCCCTGCAGTCCTGTTCCCTTCTCCCAACCACTGTGCAGGGCTACTGTGTTTTTCAAATACGTGTGCTTGTTGTTTTCTGTTTCTAAAACTGACTGGTACAATGGGTGCTACTATACCAATAAAAAATAATTTTTCCTAGAAATGAAAAAAGTGGTGGAGGTTACATAGTTGTGGATCCCATTTTGCGTGTTGGAGCGGACAATCATGTATTACCATTGGATTGTGTTACACTCCAGACGTTCCTTGCTAAGTGTCTGGGACCGTTTCACGAATGGGAAGATAGGCTTAAAGTTGCGAAAGAAACAGGTAACGCCAATACATATATTAAAGGTTATACGTTTGTTTTGTGTGATAATTAAAAAACAAAGCCGCACTGAAGAGCTTCAGTGGAAACAACTCATTAGTTCTTTAGTTTGTAGACTACACAGTTTCCACTAGATTAAATCTATTTAACAGATTAAGTCGGTGAAATTACTAAAATATTTGCAGAAGCGCAAATATTCAGGGGTTTCCTAATGCGTGAAAACACTTTTGTTTTTATTGTTTTGATTTCAGATAGACTTGGAATTTTATAGAACTGAAAGGGTGATCTTTAAAGGCTGTGTTACATAGAATTTGAAGAATTTCCAAACACTAGCTTTAAGTACATGTTATAACTGTAACTTACTGTGCTTCTTTCAATTAACTTTGAAATTTGTTTTTATTATTAAATAACTGGCTTCTTATTGTGTAGGTTACAACATGATTCACTTTACACCACTGCAGAAGCTTGGACTGTCCAGATCATGTTACTCACTGGCTGATCAGTTAGAAGTAAATCCTGAATTTTCAAGCCATAATAAAAAGTGCACTTGGAGTGATATAGGAGCTCTCGTGGAAAAAATGAAAAATGAATGGAACATGCTTTGCATCACAGATGTAGTCTACAATCATACTGGTATGAATTTTGTCATTGTTAATAACCAGATTGGTTCTATAATTGTATTTCATTATTTGCCTTAACTTTTCCTCCTTGAACCCATCCTTTAGTAGCTGTTTTAAGCAACTTCGTTTTCTGTCCTTGAATCTCTCGAATCCAGGACTCTACAATTATAACTGCTATGTCTCTTAGAGATGTGAAATAATTCAATATTATTGCTGAAAAAAAAAAGCTTTTCCTAGAGAGAATTCATGAACTGTGCATGCGTGTATTTTTATGATCTGTAGTGTGCTGCTCCCACAAAAATGGATGGAATCTGCATGATGAATTAGTTTGTGAACATAAAACTGAGTTCTTTCTTGTTAAACAGTGTTACTTTTGTAACTGCTCCAATTTTGATCTTACATGCAGACAACAAACAGAGTAGGGACGAGAGGCTAGGATTAAGCAATGGAGGAAATGTTACAGCACTGACTGGAGGGGGGGAAAAAAGGGTAGCTTTGTTTTTGGGGTGTTTTTTAAGCGCAGATATGCCAATACATTGAAGGCTTTAATTGCTTGAGGGACAGTGGGTTTTCTTCAGTATGATCTGATAAAATTACAGTACTTCATTTGTAATTTTGCTGATTATTTGGATAACAAGTTTACTTTGGTTAATTTTATAATGTAGTCGACTGGAGGGGGGGAAAAAGGGGTAGCTTTGTTTTTGGGGTGTTTTTTAAGCACAGATATGCCAATACATTGAAGGCTTTAATTGCTTGAGGGACAGTGGGTTTTCTTCAGTATGATCTGATAAAATTACAGTACTTCATTTGTAATTTTGCTGATTATTTGGATAACAAGTTTACTTTGGTTAATTTTATAATGTAGTTTTTAATCTTATGCTGTAATTCTAAAGATCACCATAATTAGCATTCTTATAGCAGTGAGTACAGCTGGGGGTTACGTATGTTAGTTAGTCCTTTGAAGCTTAAAAAACCCTAATACCTGTGAATTTTAAGCTTTATTTGCTTTAGTTCTTAGTTGTTGACTGCTGCCAAGCATTGGTATGCAGTTGGTCTGCAATGCCGTGTGGGCCCTGTTGTTTACCCTATCTGTTGCAAACTTCCCAAGTATCGTTATTGACTATGTGTCTAAGGGGATTAGGCTTTTAAACATTCTCCCAATTTTGGATAAAAAATTCCTTGGACTGTGCCAACTAGAAGTCCAGTTTCTCTCACACATGCTTGCGATCCTGTCTTCTTTTCACTGCGTATATTTGTATGCTACTAATGAGAAAAGTATTGCTGTCCATAGAAGCAAACTAAATCAGACTCCACAAAGTATTTGAGAAGAAAAATGGCACGTTATTTGACTATATTTGTAGAAGGACTTTTTTCAGCTTACATTCAGAGTCCAAAGTAATCTTCATTGGGATGGATGACTAGACTAAAGGTTTATACTATAACTAAAGGATGTTTAGAAGTGTCTTTAAAAGGGTAGAAATACTCAAACAGCCATGGTCCTGACTTAGGTCATTAAGCAGGGTATACTTGATGGGTTTGTTTTCTGCTTTCAAACGTTTAAACTTGATTTCTGCCCCCCAAAACCCCCCCCCTTGTTGTTGATGATCAAAACCTTGTGATTTATAACTGACACTAAACTTCGTTAAATGCCAAATTTAGCATAAGCATAAAGGCACATTGATAAACGTCTGAATAAGCAATAATGTTCTGTATGCCTGTGGAGTTTTTTGGGAAGCATTTAAAATAAGAAAGGAGGAAAATAGTTTTTAGGGTTCTTTTGTCTGGATCTTGATTAGATGGAAATTTAACTTCACTGGGATTGGGTTTTTTGGTGTTTTAATTGAACAGTAAACTGTAGTAGTTAAATTAGTTCATTCCTGCACATTAGGATGGTTTATTGTAAAAGGTGTTTCACAGTCCCATTTGAATATAAAAGACATAAAATACATAATCAGTTGTTGTGAGCAGATTATGGATGCTTGCGCGTTGGTATTAATTCTGCAGCATGTCTGCACTAAACGCTTAAGTTGTCTCTCAGTAAATCCTCTAATGCTGGTAATTCTAACAGCTCATGACCCCTCGGCTTAGTATGTATCTTGGTAGTTTCTGCTTTCTAGCCGAGACTACCGTATAAAAATGGCAGTGCTTCCTCTCTGCTCCTGTTGTGAAGTCAGACGCCTCACTTTCGATATGAAGTAGTTAAGCTAAGGTGTGTGGCTTTTACACTGGAGTGGAGAACAGGCTGCTCGCACGGTAGGGAACGGTGGGAATCAGTTTTTCATTAACATCTGATAGGCCCTATTGAAAGCCAGCATCTATGGCCCGACTCTAAAATCCCTGCATGCATCCACTTTACATATAGCCGGGAGTATCGTAGATAAACTTGAAAACCTTGTCTGGTGACTGAGTAGATGTGCCCGTTGTGGGTTGCCATTTCCTTCAGGTAGTTCAAACACCCTCAAATAAGAAATACTGTGTTCACTGGCATTTACTTTTCACCAGGAGATAGAAAAGGGGGAGTTGGGTTTTTTTATTTTCTGAACTTTTGGTGGCTGTAATAAATCATATCAATTATTTCAGTTTATTACATTATATCTGCTTTATCTTTCAGAAGAGGCTACTATTGTCTAATGGCAGTTTAACACTTGAGTACATCCTACTTCCAAGCACTTGACTGATCACATCAAACACCACCTTTTCTCAGCTTTGTAAAGGGGACGAAAAGAATAGTCTTGTGCAGGGACCATCAGCTACTAAATTTTAAGCTTCTGTTTAAGTTGTATAACAATTAGTACTTTGAAAAATGTGGAATTATTTTCTTAACTAAGAATGTAATGGATTTTAGAAATTGTTGTCTGTAATTCCTCATCTTAATATTTTCATTTTTTTATACTTCAGTGTATTTTTTTTCCCTAGCTGTAATACAGTGCAATCACAAGTGATGTTTTGGGCAATTTTTGTTTGTTTGTTTGTTTTCAGAATGAGATTTCTTCTGGTGTTAAGTTGTGAATCACTGGAGCTAATCTTCTGATCAGAAAACATAATTCTGTTCTGTATCAGAACTAGTTGAAGGCCTCTTCGCTTTTATTTTTTGGCACAATAACACCTCAGATTTAAATGACTTACTGTCTTTTTAGAATTAATTGTATTTACTCATCTAAGTCCTGTATAGTAAATTGTGGTTTTCACTAGATGAATAAGAGTAACCTAGATTTTTCTTTTTGAGGAAAAAAATATTTTTCTCAGAAGTAGTGTATGTATTTAAAAAAAAAAAAAAAAGGGAGGGGGAAGATCTAATTGGCCTGGAACAGCCTTTAATAGTCTGAGCTTATTTTTGCTTCATATAACTTTTAAAATAAGGATGGTGTTCTTAATTGTAGGTGGCATTTAAACCATGAAGATCTTAATTTCCACAAATTGTTTGATCGTATAAACACTGAATTTTGACATATTCATAATGGTTTTGATACATAATATATGAGGGTATTCAGAAAGGCTGTTCGTACTACAGACCAAGAGAGTGTACTTTTCTTTCCCGTTGACAATTTTGTTTGAATGCCTTTGGAACTAATCAGATTTGGGGTTCAAGTGTTAATTGGTCTGCTATAATTTTGGAGATGTTAATGTTTCTTCATGTTTCTAATTATTTATTTATTTGCCCTTGTGTGAAGTACTACTTCAGTTTTTCTCTGCTTTTCTAAAGCAATGGATCCATAAGACATGTCCTATGAAAAATTACTTGGGTTTTACAAGGTTTTTTAAAAATAAAATTTGTTCTTAATGTATTCCATGCCTTTTTTTTTTTTTTACCTTTAATTTTTCAATTGCAGAGATTGATTCAAAAGAGCATACAAAACTATTTTCAGTTAAACAGTGTTTATGGCAGTTTCAAAAATGGGAAGAAATTAACTCTTGAGGATTTTTTTCTTCATTGTCATACTTCTGAAATCAAAATTCTGTCTGCTGTATTTGTATTTACTCATACTGCTGTATGCATGCTACTGTCTGTATAAGAACATTACACCCATTTTCTAGTGAAGGCTCTTTATCTTCTCTAATTCTTAATGTTCAGCATGTATTCTGGTGCTTGTTGATGCTATGGGGGAAGTTTAGGAAATAGACACAGTAGTGCAGTGTTTGATCTGAACTCGGGTTTCATTTGCATGTACCAGACAATGCATTCGTTTTCCTGTGTAAGACTTGGTGGCATTGCTTGCCACCAATTTTCTTTTTCTTATGTACATAACTGTAGCACAGCTAATCCCTTCTTAAAAGCCCATTTAACTACGTTTTTCATTAATTGTTTCTTGGGCGGTGTGTGAGCGCACTCTTGCTCTCTGGTTGTGTGTGTAGCAGCTGATAGAAGTAAGATATCAAAAAATAGACAACTTTGGCCATCTTAAGTCTTGGTTTGGGGTGTGTGCTTGGCACAGACAAAGAGCATTTCATGTCCATTATTTGATATATTTCCTGCAACAAAAATGTGATTTTTTTGTGTGTGTGTGTGTGTTTTAAATTGCTGGTACTATTGCATATTTTTATGTAACTAACAAAATATTTCTCTGCAACCTCTGCAGCTGTATTCATTGCAAAACAAATGGTGATCAATAACACACACACCTTTGCGTAAGACATGATTTTCTGTTGGCAAGGAAAACTTATTTGAAATGTGAACGAACTGTACATGCCACAGTACCTTAACTTCTTAGTTGTTGTGTGCAAACCTCTTAACATCAAGTGTTCAGCTTGTGTACTTACTCTTTTTTTCCCTTCTCCCCCCTTTCCCCCCCTCCTTTACCTTTCTTGAATAAGCTACTAACAGTGAGTGGCTCAGGATGCATCCAGAATGTGGCTATAACCTTGTAAATTCTCCTCACCTGAAGCCAGCTTGGGTCTTGGATAGAGCTCTGTGGCACTTGACCTGTATGGTGGCTGATGGAAAGTATACTGCTAAAGGTGTGCCTCCCTTGATTGAAAATGATCATCACCTGAATGTAAGTGAATGAGAACTAAGTATAAGCTAATGAACACTATAAATAGCTGAATAAACCTTTAATATTTCTAAGGTTGTGGAAATGCACAAAAAATGCTGTATACTTTGCAGATATATTTAATGAAATAACCCTTTTCTCTCCAGTTGTAGTTTGGTTTTGTTTTTTTTTTTTTCTGAACAATTCACAAGAGCACTTATCTGAATTATGTTAATCATCAACATTATTAACTAACATAATAATTATTTTTCCAGTGTATCCGTAAAATAATTTGGGAAGATATATACCCAAAAATTAAGCTATGGGAGTTTTTCCAAGTGGATGTTAACAAAGCTGTGCAGCAATTTAAAACGCTTCTTACTCAAGGTAGAGTATGTTGCTGAAGCATGTGGATTATATATTTATAATTTAAGAAACTTCTAGGTAAATTTAACAGTAAAATGGAAAACAAATAATCCAATTTTTGCTATGTGTGGTATCTACTGCACTGATTTAAGCATACAAGAATGCTTTGAGGGCTATTACAGCCTTTGAAGACTTTGCACCCCTTCAAAGTATTTATTTACCCATATCTTGCGTATGTTAGGATTATTAAAGCGATATGTCTTTTAAATGCAATTCCGATTTTTCTTTATGAATACTCTTTTCTGTCTTGTTCTTAGGCAAAATGAGCACTAAATCTGATCCAAATCAACATCTTCAAGTAGTTCAGGACCCTGATTTTAGACGATTTGGCTGTACTGTAGATATGAATATAGCCTTGGCAACATTCATACCACACAGGTATTGTAGTACTGATTACATATTTAAATCAGAAGCAAAGCTAAATTTGCAAACCCAAGCAAATGAAATTATTTTCAGAGATGAGAAAGCTTTAGATTTTTCATTCCTTTTACTTATATATACCACATGTTTTTTAAATAAATTATTCTAATTCTTGTCTGCTTTTAATTTTCTCCTGGTGATAAGCAATGGACCAGCTGCAATAGAAGAATGTTGCAACTGGTTTCGCAAGAGGATTGAGGAATTGAACACTGAACAATACAGACAAACTAATCACCACCAAGAGCAGGTCTTATAATTACTCCGTTTTTAACGCTGAGTTGTTTTAAATTGCAAATAAATCAGTCATTTAAATAACGTATAATTTAATTAATTCTAGGCCATCAATTGTCTTGTGGGGACTGTGGTTTATGAACGACTGGCTGGTGATGGTCCTAAGCTGGGTCCTATCAGTAGAAAATATCCCTTAGTTACCAGGTATTTTGTTTGTTTATTTTGGAAACTATTAGACTCTATCCAGGGAAAGTGAGATTTTAAGTTCATTAAAAGTATACATTTATATATATAAGTGTATGTTTTCTTTCCCATGGACAAATTCCACTTGCTGAATTTACTGTCTTTTTGAAGCAACAGTGATAACTTTAGTAAAGAAATGTGACCAGAGAGCATGAAACAATACTCAGAGCACATTGAAGCCTTACATATTGCAAATTGCTCTTGCAGGTGGAAGAGGGGTGGAACTTAGGAAAGCTTACACCTTTTGAGTTTAATGTACTTGATGTACTTGATGCCGCTCATGTATCTGAATAGCTAGGGATTTATTCTTACATTACCAGCTGACACCAAGATAGTGGCAACACCTGTCTTCTCCTTCAAGGAATGCTATGAAATAGAAAACTCATCATCATTTATAGTCTAGCAGCTACTTTTTTTTTTTTATCTGTTTTAACAGCAAGCCAATTCGTAGTAGATATTTAATATCAGAGACAACAAATTTCAGCTTAGGTTACCTTATGTGGGGATTTTTTGTTTGTTGTGTGTTTGTTTGTTTTTTAATTGCCTGTCTATTCCATAGGTATTTTACTTACCCATTCAAAGAGCTGACTGTGGAGGAAGAAGAGACTATGATACATCAGCCAGATAAAGCTTGTTATTTCATGGCTCATAATGGCTGGGTTATGGGGGATGATCCTCTCAGAAACTTTGCAGAACCAGGTTTGTGAAAGAACTTGGAATCATCTTATAAACTTTTGATATTCTAGTCAAAGCAAAAAGGATTTTATTTAATCTGTATTTTTCCAGATGTATTTCTGTGAAGCTGCAGAATAGCAGATACTCAGTTTACAGTGCTTTTATGTCCCACTGAGCATACAGATCAACTAAGAACTGGGACTTGAGGTAGTTTTTTCAAGGTTTGAGAAGGAAATTACTAGCTTTCTGCCACTGAAATGGGGACATTCTGTCTCCCCACTTTTGTCATTGTCTTTGTTGCTTACTTTGTTCCAGCACCACTGCTTGTGGGCATTTCCATAACACCATGACAGTGTGGCAGGAAACTAAACCAATAAAACTGTGGGTAGTATTTTACTGCACTAGTGAACAAAAAATGGGTTCTTGAAAGGTCCATTGAGTGACAGTCAGGTAGTCAAGAGATGACACAGTTAATCCAAATTAGGTATGCTGATTACTTGTGAAGGTAAGATGAGGTATGAAAGCACCATGCACCATAATACTGTATTCTAACTCCTTTGGGAGAGCACTGATATCCAGTAAAAGCAAGATTGACAACTCTTTATTTCAGAGTAGTCATTCACTTTGTAAACTAAGTCAAACAAAGGCCAGTTTAATTAAAAACATCTATCTAAGAGTTTGAGTTTTCTTTAGAAACTGATCTGATTGATACTCCAGAGTGATCTAGAATTAACAAACAACTAATTTCTGCACTATGATCTACAGTCCTTTTGCTGTTTTTTAACTTTTTTTCCTCCTTCACCAGGATGAGTATCGTCTGTTTCAAGGATGGTGGTGTTCAGTTGCCTTTCAGCTAATTGCCCTTTCTTCTGGGCAAACTGTTGTATTTTTTCCCTCGGTCACTGGCTTTAGTTAGCATACGCAACTTCCATTACTGGGTTTTCTCACTTAATTAATCTACAGCTTTTTGAGTGCTTTATACTTGTATTGCACATTTATTTTATACCACATACTATTTCAATGGAGAATGCAGTATGAAAAGATGATACATATGGCACAAATACAGGAATTGCAAAACAAATGCAGCCCGTTCTGCAAATGGCCCTTAAAAAAATCATGGTGTACATCCAAAGAAAGTAAATTTTTCTGGGCATGTAGCAATGTGTTCATTAGTGAAGATAAAAGGTAGGCTGTGCTTACGTGAAAGTTTTCGGAAGTAGTAGTGACTTTAAAATCCCTGCTCTCTACTTATCATCTGCATACTCTTGTTGTGGGCCTTTCATTATGTAGGCCCAATCACTTAGGTGTCCATAATGTAAGCATTAGGAAATTGGTCTGAAAAATAATCCCTTTGCTAAGGCAGGATTACATTTCAACTGATCAAGTTTCCTGATCTAATCCAAGGTTTAACTACTAAAATAGCTGTGGCAATGCATCAGTATAGGTCATCTAGGAGTAGCAGAGAGCAGTTGAGTATCTGTCTTACCATCCTGAGTAGTGCTGTTCATGCTTTGATTAGGTTTAGATAAGATTAACAGACCTTCAGAAGACTGATGGCTCCAAGATAATTGTCTTTGTCATACGTGGGGTCTGATTATTGACAATTACATCATTGTGCCTGAATATTACACATTGTAGATAGTGTGGGGTTTTTGTGGGTTGGTTTGTTTCTTAAATGGTATTACTGCCATTGTCAAAGACACAATTTATATGGGACAGAAGTCACTTCTTTTACATGTGAGTGATTTTAAGTTGTAGTTAAGTCTCTGTCAGTATATTCTGTGCAGAAAATATATTACAGGTGAACTCAGGTTTAAAGAGTGTCTTTTGATTGCATCAAAAGGAAGGGAAAAATATTATATGAAATTAGATTAGATGGAGGATAAGTATTTTCATACACACAAAAATGATTCAGGGACTTTGTTTAAGTGACATACCTACCTGAGCACTTTGGAAACTTGCCCTACAGCATCACAGTCTGCTGTTAGAGAAAAATTTAAATTGTGGCTGTGACAGTTTTATTTATGGTAACACTGTGAGATGCTGCTTTTGAATTTGGCCAGTATAAACAACCGAACTACTGATTTTTGTTCATTTGTTTACTGCTTTTTTCTTTTTTTTCCCCTCAAATATGGTTTTTATACTATTTTGAAGAATTAAAAGAAATTTTATTTCAATCTGTGGAATTATTTCAGTATCACTATAGAAGTTAAATATTCCCTTGGAGTAGTCTGAAATTAAACATCAATGTAGATTTTGAGTTTATATGGTTATTGTTAGAATTTTTATTCTTCATCGGTGTTCTGCTCTTCAGCAGTAGAACATGAAATGCCACATTTTCATTTTGGTGCACATTCTATACTATATATACACTACATTGAATTTCTTTCCCTTACAGGCTCAAATGTTTACTTGAGAAGAGAGCTTATTTGTTGGGGAGACAGTGTGAAACTGCGTTACGGTAAAAAACCTGAAGACTGCCCATACCTCTGGGCACATATGAAGAAATACACTGAAATCACTGCCAAACATTTCCACGGTGTTCGTCTTGACAATTGTCACTCAACACCTATTCATGTAGCTGAGGTACGCAAAATTAAGCATGTTTATTATTTCACAGATAGAAGCTACTTTATAAGTCCTGCACTGTTGTTACAAAATCTGCAGGATCTACATGGCAGAGTTCAGGTGTGAGTGACTCTTCCTTAAGCATAAGCAAGGTTTCTTGACTGGTGATGTTCAGATATGGTTTCAGCTACTTTAAACAGTTAGTAGAGCGGTGTAGCTATTCTATCTTTTAATTATCTACTGCAGCTGAAATACTGTGGGTGCAGTGGACCTGGCTAATTTTTCCCCCATGTAGCTGTGGTCCTAGTGCAATGGTTGCTGGTATCCACTATGTCAGTTTTAGCTGAGGTCATTGCCAAGACTTGGTTGAAAGCCTTAAGTGTTTCTTTGCTATATATATTTTGCTGTTACTGAATTAAACAGGAAGTGGTTTACTTCCCAGACTTTAAAAGTTGGTAAAGAACACCTGCAAAAAGTTTAGGCTGGCAGGTTTATTGCTAAGAGATTAGTGTTTACTGTTTACCGTGGAGCTGGCTACATCCAGAAATCTGACTTAGTATACAAGTTAGCCATAAATAGATTTGAGTAGTGCAGCTTGTTAGTACTTAGTCTTAGCTTGGTTACAGAACCTACCTAGTGCTATGAAGAGCTCTCTAAAACAAGTTGATTTGACCTCACAAAAATTGTAAGTGGCTCTTAAATGCAGCCATTTCAAAACTTCTGCCATTCTGTCACTTACTATTACTATTTTTGGAATTGTAACTTTGAAGGCTTAAACTGAAGTCTTCCTCAGATTTTTCACCTTAAATGGGTATCTCTAATCAAAAGCTAAACTCAAATTGCAAGAACAAGGGTTGGATAAAACCTAGCTGTAACTAGCTGAAAGTCATCGGAGAATTTCCTAGAATTACTCAGTCTATACATAATCTCTGTAACATGCATTTACCAATCTTAGCTGTTATTAATATTTTTAATGAACTGCATATATGAATGATGCCTTTATGTTTGATTGATAATGGATGATAATGGATGCCTTGATTTAAATATGTATTATGATCTATAGGAGATGCTAGCAACAGCCAGATCAGTCAGACCTGATCTTTATGTGATAGCTGAACTCTTCACGGGCAGTGAGTACATTGACAATGTTTTTGTCAACCGCCTGGGAATTACCAGCCTGATTAGAGGTACAATAAGCAGTTGAAAATTGTCTAGGATTGTCATGTATGGTTTGGAGTTATTAATGTGAAACTAACATTGGTATGCATTTTTCCTGTTTTTCTTACATATTCGTGTTCTTTGCTTATGCACTTACCTTTTCTTCTTCATGTTGTATTTAACTTCTCCTGTGTCGTATGCTAATTCTTGATTTTGCTTATGTTTGTGTCCGCTTCTGTGTAACAACTTTTTTGTTCCTTAATTTTGGTTTTCTGTTTGTCTTTGCTGCATGGCATTTTCCTATTGTCCAATCCCTGCCTAGCTTTGAAACTGGTCCTTTTTTGTATCTACGTTTCCCCTTTCTGTGGCTTTTTTTGGCTGTGCTTTTTTTAGTACATGCTGGACACAGCTAGAAAATTGCGAGCCAATTTGTATGTAGTGGCTGAACTGTTCACGGGAAATGAGGAGCTGGACAATATCTTTGTGAATAGGCTGGGCATTACCTCCTTAATAAGAGGTAGGCTTGCTCTGTGTGTGGTGTCTTTCCAATGAGAGCTTATAGATGACATGCTTTTGCCAAGGAAAATGTTTGTCCTGGATTATGCACTTCTAACTGCATACTCCGTGTAATCAGAAGTACAGTTTCTATTGTGAATTTTTTGATACTCAGCAAAAAATACAGTAGTAGCTGTAAAATGAGAAGGCATCCTGTATTAGTTTTACAGAAGGTTAGATATTTCACTGTTATTCTGATGAGACAAGAAGTTGTAGCACAGTTCTGCTGTGCAAGTGCTGCATTGTCTGGTTTCTGTTGCAAGGGTTTCCTAAAGCCTGTGAGAAACAATTTCAGATCTTTCTTTTTTTTCTCCTTCTTTCTCTTTAGCTTTCTCTACCTTAATGTATTTCAGGAAATGGAATACTCCAAGGTTGTGTACGCACATTGGACAATATAGTTACGTGTGATTTTTTTTTTTTTTTTTTTAAATGATTGAACAAACCTAAGCAACAACTGTAAAATGCTGCATTGACATCTCTGTGCGTATTGAACTCTGTGGTAGTTACTTACGCAAACACTTACCTGTTTTGTTCTTTAGAGGCAATGACCGCTTATAATAGCCATGAAGAGGGAAGGCTGGTTTATCGTTTTGGAGGTGAACCTGTTGGCTCTTTTGTTCAGCCACGTTTGAGGCCTTTGATGCCAGCTATTGCTCATGCACTGTTCATGGATATTACACATGACAATGAATGTCCAATTCAGGTGAGCCCCTAAACCAAAACTCAAAGTTTACGCCTAATATTTTCTGAATTGATAGTTCTGAACCATGGGAGGGCTTTGTCCAATCTGAATGTTTTTCATGAGCTATATTTAGGAAAAATGTGTTTCAGATCTTCAAGTTTTCATGCAGAGAGTAAACATTTAATAACAAGTCCTTCTGAAGTTCAAGATTCTGTCTTTCAAGGGAAAAAGTATATAAAACTTAATGAGCTGTTTTGATTCTTTCATTCCAGCTATACTCTGAGTGGTTCTATCTCTGCTTGTTAACCTGTTCTCCTAAGTGCTTGTTATACAGGAGAGAATGAGTGTGTGTAGTGGGAATTGGAGTGCCCATTTTTGAGCTCTTAATTTTGTGCTCTTAAGTTGCTTTTGTTAGTGCATTTGTAGTAATTTTGTAGTAATTCTGTTGTGATTGAGAAAATGATGATCATGGGATTAACAACTTATCTGTTACACTGAGTATATCTTCTGTATGCTGAATTGGGGGGGTGAATTATGTCTTTTGTTTCATCATTTATTACCTATTTATTTTTTTTAACATAGCACCGATCTGCATATGATGCTCTTCCTAGTGCAATGATTGTTTCCATGGCATGTTGTGCTACAGGAAGCACCAAAGGCTATGATGAACTAGTACCACACCAGGTATGAGTGTACAGTTTAACTCCTAAGTTACTTTGAAAAATGTAAACTTTATTCTTGTCCTAGGACGTGTTTTTAATGTTGTTTACTTGACATTCCAAGCAATTCACTAGCTCCCATTACTTCAGATTGTCGAATTTCATATGAAATTTGAACTGATGATATAGTAGAGACCTTCAGGTTGTTTTGATTTTTCCAGAGTAGTTGATATTTGTTTAAATCTTAATTTCTTTACAGATCTCTGTAGTATCTGAAGAGAGGTTTTATTCTAAATGGAATCCAGCAGCACACCTGAGTTCTGGTGAAGTTAACTTCCAAACAGGAATTCTAGCAGGAAGGCTGGCCATAAACAGGCTGCATCAGGAGCTAGGAGCTAAAGGCTTTAATCAGGCAAGAAGTGAGGGTAACACTGCAATTTCTGCCTATTTATGTTCTGAGTGAGCACATTTGCAATGGTATGTCTTTTCTAGGTGTATGTGGATCAAGTTGATGAAGATATAGTGGCAGTGACAAGACATTGCCCAAACACACACCAATCTGTTGTGGCTGTAAGTCGAACTGCCTTTAGGGATCCTAAAACGTCCTTCTTCAGTAAAGAAGTACCCGAAATGTGTATCCCAGGTAATCAGTTTTCTTTTCAAGAGATGGCAAGTGTACAAAAAATTCAAGTTACTCTATACTTTTAAACTTTAAATGCATTAAATCAGTATGAGAATTTTCAGTATATATATACTCTTTTTATATGTATTAACATGCATGCACCAAAAGTGGTTAAAGAAACAATAGCAAACTTACATTGCTTAGGGTTTTTCAGAGGCATTCATTTTTACTATAATTCCTACTATAAGCTCCCCATGAGGGTGTGATTTTGTTTTACTCTCTCGTTTGTGAACTGGTAAGAAGTAGTTAACAGCAAGATGGTTAATTGTACAAGGTTGGGGTGGAGTTACTATTTATTAAGTGTTATACTGGGGGGACAAAGGCTAAAATCTCATCATACTTGTTGACGTCATTGCTAGTCAGCTTTCTTATATATGACTCTTTTTGAAGTTAAAATACATCTTAATAAGAAATAACTTTTTACTGCATAAGTTAATGTAAAGATAACATATAGGTAATACACACATGATATTAATTAAGTATGCAAAGTATTTACTATACTTAATAGTAGCAAAGTCTAATGACTTCTGTACATGACCTGGATATATTTCTGAAGAGCAGCTTTCCAAACTGACTATTTTTTAAGCATACTCACTTCTTTTGAGTGCATGTGTATGCCTGTTTTCATGTCAGACACGTTATATGTTAAGACATTTACAAGTAGCTGCAAGACTTTATACCTTATTTTGTAGATTGCTGAAAGGATAGAGAAAATGAAGAGTATTTGAATATTAATAAGAAATTGTTACACGTTGAAGATAATCCATCTGTTACTGCAGTTTGGAAACTAATACAGTCTCCTAGAAGATAATAAGGGAACTAACAGAGCTTGTGATCAGTAAAAGACTGATTGTAATTTACTAATTGTTGGTTGATTTTTATGGTTAATTTATAAAGTAACAAAATCTTAGTTTTAAATAAAATATAGCCAGTGGATGTGTAATGAATGTTTATAGGATATTTTAAAACACTTCCTCATATGTTTTGTCACATTTGGTTGGTCTTCAGCTGTACAAGAGACTTGTGTTTTGAATATTTAGGGGTTTAGTTTTTGCTTCATGTTTTCAAAGGAATCACTCTTCATTTAAAGTACCTTAACAGCTACAACATGATTTAACTTTTCTTAGGAAAAATAGAAGAAGTAGTACTTGAGGCTAGGACTATTGAGAGAAAAGCTAGTCCTTACAGAAAAGATGAACATTTTATAAATGGATTGCCTAATTTCACAGTGGAACTCAGAGAGCATATCCAGGTAATTAGCCCACTTCACCCATGTTCTGATGACATATTTTGTAATTTGTCATGTTTTGTATTAGAAAAAGACATTGAATTTCAGTTGCAAATGTGTTTTCTTTTCTAAGATTAAAGAGAGTAAAATTATAAAGCAAGCTGGAACTGCCATAAAAGGGCCAAATGAATTTGTTCAAGAAATAGAATTTGAAAAGTTAACACCAGGAAGTGTAATAGTATTCAGGTACGTTATAATCGTCAAATGGCTGTATTAGTTAAAATAAAAGGATAGGATTCTTTGGAGACTTGAGAATAGTTAAGTGTAAGTGCTACATTTCTACAAGTTATGCATTTGTATTTACAGAGTTAGTCTGGACCCAAAGGCACAAGAGGCTGTTGGTGTACTCCGCAATCATTTGATCCAGTTCAGCCCTCATTTTAAATCTGGAAGTCTTCCTGATGATCATTCAGAACCTATATTAAAAACATTATTTTCTTCGTGAGTATTCTTTAAGTTTCTGAAGTAAAACAGAGCGAGCTACAGTGGGAGCGAAGAACAGTCTGTAAACCTAAAGTTAGGAATTTGTTGTTGTTGTTGTTGCTATGAGTGGAATTGGATTGTCAGAGTGCAGTAAAAACTCTGAGATATTCTTTTTCTACGTATAATACTAAGCAGAGTTAATACTTAAAAACTTCCCAGGCTCTTTTTGTTCTTGTTCTATGTAACTGCTGCTTAAAGTAGACTTGCTGTCATAGAGTGCTTGTCAGTGTTGGGGTATGATTGTTTGGCTTTAGTACTTCTAAATAAATATTGAAACATCTGAGCAGAACATCTCAGAAAATCTGAAAAATCAGGCTGTTAATTACCAAGATTAAGTGGTGAGAGAATTGTATATATTTGATTACTTTAATAATCCCTTCTAACCCAAATCACTTATGATTTTATGATTAATACAAGTCTGAAACTAGAATTGTTTGTGAAATCCTTTCTTTATTTCTCTACTAATGTTGCTTTTGGGGTTGGAATTTTTTTTTTCTCTGCTGTTTTTTCAGTATTGCATCTAAACTAACTTTGGCTGACCTAAATCAAGTACTGTATAGGTGTGAGGCAGAAGAGCAAGAAGATGGTGGAGGTTGCTACGATGTACCAAACTGGTCACCGCTGAAGTATGCAGGCCTGCAAGGTAATAGTTTCAGCAGTCTTTCTTCTGTCAAGAATAAAAGTAAAATAAAGCTGCACAATCTAAGTCATACCTTAATGCTCTTTTATGGCTAGAGCCATTGTTTAGATTAAAAACCTAAGGGTTTTTTCTGCTTGACCATTCTACTAATCCATGTTGTACCCAGGAAATTGAAGTAATTTTCAGCATGTGTTCTAACACCAATGCTCTGGCTTTTAAAATAAACAGAAAATGCATATACCTTCAGTGAAAAGTCACATTAATTGAATGCTAGGTATTACTAGATTACTGAGTAGCATTGATCATTTATCACGTTCATGAATTCCATCATGCTAGTTACTCTGCAGTGATTTTTGTTACTGTAAGGTGTACACTGAGGAAGCCACAATTGAGTTGAATCACAACTCGTTCTGCAGATCAAGAAAAGTAATGCTGTTAAATCCGGTTAAAACACCTGCTGCTGTGTACTTTTTTCCTCCTGGCTTGTAATTGATGTTTGTGGTAATGGTGTGTGTGTTAATGCAGAGTTGGGTTTGTATCTTCAGGGTTTATGTCAGTGATGGCAGACATCAGACCAAAGAATGACTTGGGTCATCCATTTTGTGATAACTTAAGATCTGGAGACTGGATGATCGATTATGTCAGTAATCGTCTGATTTCACGTGCAGGAGCCTGTGCAGAAGTGAGTAAAATACTTATTTGGTGACTTCCAGGTTTTAAATGACCTTTTTTTGTCAATCACTGGTGTATTTTGAAACTCAGTCTGTCTATAGCATACTTCTTGTCTAGGCAATTTCTTTTAGGAGATCAAATTATTAAAATGTTGGGGTTTCTTTTTTTTTCCCTTTCCTAAATTCTGTTTAAGAGTATACTGTAAAAGAGAAGTGAAAAATACGTAAGGCATGCAAGCCTTGTTAGTCCTTACATAAAGGCCTGCAGGGTTTCCCCCTCAAATAAAAACGAAATAATCATGATGCAGTTATAGTAAGATTGCAGAGTTAAGCACTGAGAAGATGGGAGTTACTGAAATTCAAGTTATCTGTATTACAATACAGTCCTTACCTTTCTTTGTGATGTTTTATTTTCCTGCACAGCAGTTGCTTTATTCATTTCACAAGATGAAGACCTGATTTGGGTAACTTGCATAATGAATATGATAATAAAGGCTTTAGTGTTCTTATTTTGTTTCTGAAGTCTAGTTTAGTGATAGAAAGCAGAAAAATGGATAGAACAGTCTGATGTTGTAGTGAAATGTATGCTGAATCTGACCTCAGAGATGGAGCTTTTCTGGAAGGGAAGTTAGCCTGTTACTCCAGATTTACTGCTCCTCAGAGACTGTTGCATATTTTTCTGTGTTTTTTATTGAGTTCTTCATTTATAGTGTCTCATTCTGTTTTGCAGAAAATAGTGTACCTATGTCTATACTGAGGTCACATGAAACTAAACCTTACAATGTCAGTTTTTGCATAAGTAACTTTCCCTTCATAATTTTCACGTTAAAAGTACAGTGTCATCCTGTAAAATATTGACATGTACTTTCTTCATCTGCAAAGTTTAAATCTTTACTGACTCCCTAGTAGGATGCCATGATGTTCTATTAACACTACTAGATGGACACAAGAGAGATACTTCCCAGGTATCAAACACTTTGCAGTGACACAGGAGGCCTAGGCCCACATCTGAAATCACTCTCACTAGTGGCTGTACATAATTTATCCTTGTGATAATTTTTCTATCCCTGGTCTTAAGCTTCATATCTTCAGTGCTGTATTTTTAAGCAGTAAGAAACCTCCTTCCCACACTTGGTCATAATAATGCTTTTTGGGTTGCATCTTTTGTTTGGTACTCAGTATAATAACTTTTTTCCCTGTACATCTAGCAAAATATAATCTCTCTCTATAGTTGATATTCTTGTCAATTTATGTCACAGTACAGATGCCGTACAGATTTCTTCCTTACTACCTGGGGTTCATCTCTCTTATCTGAAATTTACGAACAGGAGGGTACAGCAATTGTACTTCAAATATCTAGCAAGGATAACTTCAGACGTGAATTGTTGCACGCTAGTTGTGTTATAACTGAAGATAACCTCATCTTTCTGGTGGTCAGGCATAACTGAGGTGCAGTAAATTTACAAGAACTGTGACAAATGCTTTAACTAAACAGATCCTAAAAGCACTGGCTTTTGAACCCTGGTGTTATCAAGTTCTCGTTATTTGTTGTATTTTAATAGGTTGGCAGATGGTTGAAGGCCATGTTTGTCTACCTAAAAAGAATTCCACGTTACCTCATCCCCTGTTACTTTGATGCCATATTAGTGGGTGCATACACAACACTTCTGGATGTGGGATGGCATCAGATGTCTAGGTATGCTTGGCATATCAGAGCTATAGAGGTATCTCTATATATCTGCACCTTTTAAGTTTTGTCTGCTGGAGAATGTAATTTGAGTATTTTTGTACTTGGCCAATGTAAAAGGGTAAAACTGGCAGTGAATTTCAAATCCATCTTCTAACAGTGGTGGTTTGGAAGGTTGAGAATTCAGTTCTCTCTCCTGGGTTTGAATTTATAACTGTTGGCATTGTGCAGTAAGGGGAGGAAAGCTTAAGCCAGCATTTCTTTTCCAGGCTTTGGAAGCTTTTTGCTATAATTTTAGTACAACTGCAATAATTCCCTAAAGTTTAGGGGAAAAAAATAAAATGCCAGATTGTATTTGATGCTTTGTTTAACATTTCTTGTCTAACACAGCTACATATCTTTAATTATCTGAGCACTTTGCTCAGTTCTTGAAATAAGAGTTTAATCTTCAGTGTCTGCTTCTCCTGCCTCGTCTTGGAAAGGGAAGTGCGATTGATTTAATGGGGGCTTTATTCTAGCTATGAACATTCTCAACAAATCAGTGTTGTTTTAACATACAGGTGTTAATGGGAATAGAGTTTGGTCGGGCTGTGAAATCATGTGGGATGTAGTATATTCTATGAAAAAATGCTTGAAGAGGAACTAGTCAGGGATGCAGGTTGCATTATTTCAGACAATCTGTTAACCAATTTATTGATTGACAATTATTAATGTACATGAATATATATATAAATAGGACTAGGTTTGACAGACTTTTGTTCATAGCAAAGTATCTTATCGTATTTTTGATATCTTAAATTTGTTTATAGGTGTCAAGTAAACCAAACAAATATCTTTTTTTTTTTTTTTTTTAATGATTTCCCTAGAAGTATTTGACGTAAATTAAAATTCGAGGCACCCATCTTTGTGGAAAAAAAAAAAAATTACAAATTAAATGTTATGTACAAAATTAGTTAATGCAAAATACTAACATCAACTTATTGTTAGTTTATTATATTTATTATGCATAATACTTAAAATAGTCTTCTTTAAATGAAAAGGGATACATTTTATAGACTGTTCTTATAGTTGTTCTTATTATGTTGGATTGCAGCTTTGTGCAGAATGGTTCAACATTTGTTAAACACCTTTCCTTGGGTTCAGTCCAGATGTGTGGGATAGGAAAATACTCTTCTCTGCCAGATCTGTCGCCTTCCTTACGTGATGTTCCTCGTAGGCTGAATGAGATTACAGATAAGGAAGAACAGTGTTCTGTTTCCTTGGCAGCTGGTAAGTGAGGACAACATTAAAGAAAAGGAAAATAAGAAGTCTTCCAAAACAGTTAAACTGTTTTTAGTGACTATATTAAAATTGTCTTCACTGTGCTTGGGGTTCATATGTCGACAACCATGTATAAAATGTATGTCGCAGCTTTGCACACTGTTCCCCTGCGTTTTAACTTGTCTCTAAGATAAGGTTTGCTCATATTAAAAATACGGGAGTTTTGTCTAGCAGTACTTATTAACAACATTTTTTTACTGCTCTTGGGGGAGGGGGGGGAGTGGGGGTGAGCTTATAAACACTTTAGAGACATTTTTAGCTATATCCACTTTCATCATATATGGATATTCTTAAGTACCTCCACTTTCTTTCCAGAGGATTTGCTTAAGATAAATTGATGTTTAAAAAAAGATAAATATACTTAGCATAATAGGTTTTAGTTTACGAACTGAATTGTAATGGTGCGCAAGTGTGAATTTATTGATTACAAGTTCTTAGAAAAAGAACCATTAGCAGACTAGAAGAATGCCTGATCTGAAATAGTCTCCAAAAGGAAAGAGCATAAAAGTAGTCAGGAAAATGCCCAATTCAAAGACTGCCAGATGCTGGCAGAACACTGAGGTATAAAACACGATTTGCTATGTCAGAAGTATTATCTTCTGTGTTTAGTGGCTTAGAATGATTTTATTTTTGTTCTGAGTTGGCCTATTCCTTTTCTGAAACCATAGAAACTTTTAACATCCACAGATTCAATGGCATCTGTCTCACAGGGGTGTTTATTTTCTCTTTTGCTGTCTCTTTCTCTCATGGAATTTTATTGCTTTCAGTTTCTGGTTTGTAGTAACATTCCACTTGCCTGCTTTAGTGTTACCTAGAAGCAGAGGCACAATGTTCCCTTAATTGGTCATAAAGATTAATTATACTAAAGGGTTTGGTTTTAAATATTCCCTTCATTTATTCACTGGTATTTGTCTGAGGTTTGTAACAGTCAATGTATGAGTTACTCTCAACTGCCATATACTATAAAATTGCAGAGACATACAGGCCATATTTGAATATTAGCAAATACTTTGGAAAAGTAAGTTACAGAAGTTAATGTTGTTCTTTCGGATATGTACAAGAGACTGCTGTTTTGAAACTTTACATTGTGGAATTTATTGTCTGATAGATTGAAAAAGTTAATAAATGGAAGAAGAGATAAGGATGGACCTTACTGTTGTAATTATGATGCTTAATCAGTCAGCCATTCTTAAAGTTATAATGTCTGCAGTAAGAGGTAGTTCTAGAAGCTGCTAGAAGAGAGAAGCAGGATTCCTTTTATATGGCTGAGAACATTTATGGGCTGAGGAGATTCATAGGTCTCCAGTCTTAAGCCCTTTATACTACTGACATTGCACGGCTGTCCCACATGAACTCATGCTAACAAAGCATTATAAATCTTGTCATAGTTCTGGCTTTTTGTCTTAATTTTTTTTTCTGCTTCTTTCAACCAATGATTGCACTTGGTACAGTTACAAAGTGCTTTAATAAAAATGTAAACACGACTGTTATTCATATGATGAATTCTGTTGCATGATGTTGAAATTTGAGAAGATATTGTTCTAAAATGAGGTCTGTCTTCATTTTGTCAAAGAAGATTACTTACTTAAAATATCTTAATCTAGGAAAAACATTATAAATGTGAATATATTTTTTTATTTCTGGTTATTTTGTACATGCATGTATACTTAGAATGATACTGCAGAAATCTCTGAGATGAATAATGGCATTTCTTTTTAGGTTTACCTCACTTTTCTTCTGGAATTTTTCGCTCCTGGGGAAGGGATACCTTTATTGCACTGAGAGGTCTAATGTTAGTTACCGGGCGATATCTAGAAGCAAGGTAAGACTGATTTATTCTTAGTTCTTACTTGGTTTGCAGGTAGTTATAAAAAGGCATGCTCTCAAAACATGAGATGTTACATAAGCTGTTAGAAGCAGTTGATGTGCAGTACAAAACTTTAATGGCCCTAGACGCATTTGGGAATTCTTTCTGAGTGGAATTGAAAATACTACTTAAATTACTCTTTCGCTTTCTTGGCACTGATTATGAAGCTGATGTTCTGTATAGATAAGGTAGTTTTAATCCCTGTTGCACTTCTGCTTGTCCTGTAAGTGATTTTTCACACGTACTGACATCATGTTGCTGAGCAATAATTTCAATATTACTACTTTAAAAATTTGAAGTAACAAAAGAATACTATTGTAACTGGGAAAGTATGAGTGCCTGTCTGCCATGATTTTTTTTGTAACTGCTAGTATTTGTCTATTAATTCTAGAAGTCAGTTAATTGTGGATTATTACAATATGATACCTGTAAATGTTTAACCTCAGAAATGAGCCGGGTATATGCCAGATCTATTGATTTGGTATTTCCATTAATCTTTTAATTTGGGTGGAACTCGCCATATGGTACAAACATAAAAATTAGCATGTATTTATGCTGTTTTACATTTGGCCAACTAATTACTCTTCTCATGCAGTAAGATCTGCAGTATACTAGAATGTTTATATTCCCTTTTAAAGCTAGTTGGAATCCATGTTTTCTGCAAGGTATGCGCAACGGTTCTCAAATGAAACTTCTCATAATCTCAGTTGCTGTCACCTCTCTGTATTTTAATAGGAAATTCCCATCTACTCCTGCCCTCCGTCCCCATTCCACCCCACCCATCAGAATGGATACCAGGGTAATCATAAACAATGTCAATAAAAACCTTCCCTGTGACCTCAGTGGGATTTGGATTTAGGCTCTACATTGCTACCTATGAAAAAGCAAACTAGCTTTTTCCATGTTAATGTTTTTTGTACAAACTGATTTAAATGTGTTCATGTTGGGGAATTTGTAGGGAATAGATGAATTCTTATTGTAAAAGAAGTTCATGCTAAATGAAGTAATTTTGTAGCTTTCAACAGCAAACTTTGGTCTTTAAGATCCTGTTTGTCTCCCTGACTTACCTATTAAAGGTAAACTTGTATGATTTGTACTTAATACTTGATCCAGTAACAGTCTCAGAAGTACATTAGTCAAGACTCTGTTTTTCTTTTTTCTAGAAACATCATTTTAGCATTTGGTGGGACCTTAAGACATGGTCTCATTCCCAATCTGCTTGGTCAGGGGACACATGCCAGATACAACTGTCGTGATGCTGTATGGTGGTGGCTTCAGTGTATCCAGGACTACTGTAAAATTGTTCCAGATGGATTAGACATTCTCAGGTGTCCTGTTTCTAGGATGTACCCAAGAGATGACTCTTCTCCTCAGCCTGCAGGCACTGTGGTAAAGATCACTTCTGATTTAATTATTTCACACAACTATTAACTTTAATGAAAGGATGTAATATTTATAGCTACAAGAACCTGTCATTATTGTTTATGAAGAAAATTAATTATAGCAGAAGAATTGTATATTTTGGGCACTTCTCACTGCAGCTGAATCATGATTAGACATGTGTAGGGAGGTGGGGATGGAGGAAAGAAATTCCATCAGCTTCTAAAATTTTTCTTTTGCTTTTGTCTTGAAAGAGGTCTATATTAAAAATTGTCTACAATGTATGGCCATTGAAAAAGATGCTACTAAAAATGGTAGATGATTTCTTTTGAAGCATAATAAGCTAGAAGCTAAGAATTGCTGCTATTTGTACGATCGATAGAGCTTCTACGCGTTTTTTGTGCTGCCTTTCACATATCACCCAAACTTGCAATCAATCTAGGATCAGCCACTTTATGAAGTAATACAGGAAGCAATGCAACGACACATGGAAGGCATAAGTTTCAGAGAAAGGCATGCTGGTCCGCAGATAGATCAGAACATGAGAGATGAAGGTAACGTATAGAATGTGCTTCACAAGATGATGATTATATTTCTTTAGCTATTGAGTGTATTTTTGAAAATTTAATTCTTTAGTGAAACTAAAACTATATGACTTTAAGTGTATTTAATGTTTTAAGAGTGGCTAATTAATTGTTTGTTATCAGCAATTGTTTATATGTTGTGCTACGAGTTACCTTTAAATAAGAGTTCACTTAAACTACTGTTGCCTTGACAAATCCACCTCCGATCTCTTGTTTGGAGCAGTGGTTTTTTTATTTAGAAGGTTTGGGCAGGGGCAGTTTGGCTTTTGATTTGTTTAAAATATCATAGGTGATATTCTTGCTTGGCAGGTTTTAATGTAACTGCAGGTGTTGACCTTGAAACTGGCTTTGTCTTTGGTGGGAACCGCTTCAATTGCGGCACTTGGATGGATAAAATGGGAGAGAGTGACAGAGCTCGCAACAGAGGCATTCCAGCTACTCCAAGGTACAAGTCCAGGCTTTTAGGGAATTTGTTAAATTATTTTTTTAACTGAAGTTGTTCTGTGGAACTCCTGTGCCTTGTATCGACCCGTCTGAGAAGTGATCTCTCAAATGTTTTAAATGTTTCTGCCACTGAAATGTTAATGGTAACCTTTTTCATGTGCTGATTTGAAGAAAATGGTATGTTCTTAGCAGGTGAATCCCTCATTTTAGGGCATGGTCTTATCTCCCTGCAAAGAGTTGACATCTGAATTCAAGTAGTAAATTGTAACTTAGGAAAAACTGTATACTTGTAGTACTAGCAGTCCTTTTGTTACTTAGACAACTTATTGGAGATATCCTTTGATAACTGTTGTTTGAATACTTCTATAGACGGTGTAGATATTCTTGAGTTCTAAGTTTTCAAAATTGAGATTAAACATTTAAAAAATAAGCTCTTTACTGTGCTCTAGCCAAACTGCTGCAGGTACCCCTGCTTGAGTTTAGTACAGGGTAAGTTCCAAATCAGCTGTGATCTGTGCGTGAGAAGTGAAGGAAAGCATTCACTTGCTTGCCAAGTAAGGCATTTTAATTGGGAACCAAGAGAGGTTGAGGTGCCTGCCCTGAAGAGGCTAAATGCTGGAGAAAAAAATTTACATCAAGCAGCCAGTAAAACTCAATATGATATAATATGAAATTTATGCATATGGTGATTATCTGAATATCACCTGGGGAAAAGAACCCAACCTCACTTTTGACTGGAGTATCTATTATGGCAGAAGTATTACCTAGGTTACCAAAGTGCATATGCAGATGAGAACCTCTGTATTGAACACAGTTTTAACAGCACAGGACCAGGTATTTGGGGATGATCCTTTTCTCATATTCTTAATCAGTGTATAAAATTAAATGTAAATCTGTGTAAATTAGCTGAGTATGATAATACTACTTTAAATTAGTCTATGGTACAGAAAAAATACATGTTAGCCAGTTTACAATCAAGCTCCTTCCCTGACTGTTAGCTGATGGAAAACCTTAAATACTTTCCACCCTTTCCTTCGTTGTTTCTTCATCAGGTGGAATATCCTGCCCATCTAAATAAAAGTAAATTGAAACAGTCGTCTTATGCTAATGTTCTTTTATTGTTGGCCCTTTATGAAACTGAAAATACCCTATAAAACACACACTGTGCCAAAGTGTAGCAGATAATCTTTAGCACAGATAAAATTAAGATGTGCTTTTAGGGGAAGAATAGTCTAAACCATGCCTACACAGTGCTGTCAGCTGCTGAGCTGACACAGCTGAGCTACAACACCAGAAGGAAATATGAAATCTTAATACATCAGGAGACAAAAAAGTTATTAAAAAATAACTATTGTGTGTCATCAGTAAAGATCTTTAGAATAAGACAGAAGGCATCACTCTGAGTCTTTGTGAAACCTTGCACCGGCGAGGTGCACTTGTATCTTGAGTGTGTTACGTGCAGTGCTGGTCTCAAGAATGACAGTGCAGAGAAGGGCAGCTGCAGCTCAATGGGATGGAGTAGCTGTGTGTAAGGAGAGATTAGAATGTCCAAGGACTCTTTACTTTCAAGAGAACTTGGGTGAGGTGTGACTGAAGTTTAGAACAACATGACAGTAGCAATGATGATGAAGCTATTATTCATAAAACACTGCAGTACTGTAGAACTTTGGGATGCTCATATAGGAGAAGTAGGGGAATAGTAGAAGAATGGGGGGGGAAGTGTCTAAGATACTTACAGGTTTTTCTTTTTTTCAGTTACTTCTTGAGCTTTAATAAACTTCTTAAAGTAATTCTTTGGCTTTTTTAAAAATAATTATTTTAGAGATGGCTCTGCTGTGGAAATTGTTGGCCTGTGCAAGTCGGCTGTTCGCTGGTTGGTGGATTTATCTGGGAAAAATGTGTTTCCATTCCATGGAGTGACTGTAAAAAGACATGGTAAAACAGGCACATTTCATAATTTTATTACTAGAGTATATACCAAATAACTAAAATGATGACATTGTGGCCATATAATATCAGGGATGATTCTCGAACTGCTCAAGAAGGTTTAGGGGTAAAAGAAGAAAAACTTTGGAAGGTATCCTGTATTATTAAAATATTTTGTTACTACAAGAAACTTATTAAGAGTTGATAGTCTTGTCAATATTTCAAGTATTTATTCCATGTGTTAAGGTGTTGTTTACAAAGGAATTTTGGAGGCTAAATACCATTTCTCAAAACGGATATAAATGAGATAGTGTGATAATATGCATCATTCATTGCAAGAATGCTAAGTAAAATGATACAAGCCCTTTTTTATATTCACAACACAAAGAACCACTTCTTGTGAATACATATGTAAATATGTTTAGATGTCTCTCATGTTTCAAGGGGATACTGCTCTGGTTACAAAGTTACTTTACTTTGAGCTTACCCAGACAAGTGAATGTACATGTCCTGTAAACCCTTTTACTCTTCAGTGAAGGTTAATATTGGAAAACAATTTAATGGTTTTATTCCATTTTAGAAAATGAATGTAAGTGTATGTTGGGGGTATTTTTTTCCTATCGGTCCCAGACCGTAGAGGTTCTTAGGTCATGAACTTACTTGTCACTTCAGGATTTCTTAAAATATTTGGCTAGACAATTTAGAATTCAGTACACAGCAATACTATCCATAGATGTAGAAATAATTATAGGACTTGTATCACTTTTGTTCTGGGATCACAAACAACTTATTTAGATTCAAGGTGATGTGTGTATACTCCCTGCCATTGTTAATCTTATGTAAATGGGTTTAAATTTCATTGATGTTCTGCTGAATCTATTTTAAAACCAGTCTTAATTCTATTTAAGATCTATGCCTTTTTTTTTTTTTTAAGAATAGTCTTAGGGTTAGAGTTTCTAGGGGTTTTTTTCTTCTGTCAATACCGTATTTCAATTTTTGGTAGTATTGTACTTTTTGCTATACTCCAGTTGTAGTTTAAGAAAAAGAGGTGCTACTCTTGTACTCACCTAGTGTAAAGCTAATGCACAATTCTCTACTCTTTTTGGTTCTTTGATGAAACTGTTGCTTATTTAAGGTGCATATGTATCTCAGTCAGGAAAATATCCCCAGCATTTTTTCTTCTGACTAAAACCTGATTTTTTTTTTTTCTAGTCTCACTTGAAGTTTCAGTGAGCTGTGAACTGTAGAATGGACCTGTGGGGAATCACCAGCAGGAGAGGTGATCCTAGGTCTGCTCCTGTTAAGTGTCAGGAATTCAGGAAGAGAAAGCTTTTTAAAAAGCGACTCTTATACTAATGTTTTGACACTCCTTAAAGTCTCCAAAATAGCAAGAATATGTATCTGAAGTACTAGAAAAGAGTTGACGTGTTCCAATGCTGAAATGATAATTAGAAATTTTAAACTTACCTAATTACATATTTACTATAGATTTACTTCTGGTGTTACCACAGTAGCTGTTTTTAGAAAATAACACCTGTGTGAAACGTCTTGCAGGGAAGGAGGAGACTATCACATATGATGAGTGGAACAGAAAAATTCAAGGACACTTTGAAAGGCTGTTCTTTGTCTCTGAGAACCCAGCAGATCCTAATGAGAAACATCCAAATCTTGTTCACAAACGTGGAATTTATAAGGACAGCTATGGAGCTTCAAGTCCATGGTGTGATTACCAACTCAGGCCAAATTTTACAATAGCAATGGTTGTGGTAAGCGGGGGAGAATGGAGGGAAGCGTTTGCACTTAATTTTCTTTATTATTGATCTAAGCTTGCATTGTAAGGTTCATCTGCATGGTATTATGTCACGAACATACATTGCTTAGAATAATTTTTTGAAGTTTTTCTTGACAATGCTTTCAATACTGGTCCTTCTTGAGTATCTCCTAAAAATACATCCTTGATGGGACTTACTTTAATGAAACTGCTGTCCAGTGTATAGCTAGGATAAATTTACAGTGTTCACTGTTTTCAGAAAGTCTTTTAAGGTTAGGTCTGGGAGGCCACTTTTCCCATCAAATTAGCTGAAAACCATGGGTTGTTTGTCCATATTGGGTTCGTAAAGAGCTTCAGCAATAATTCTTGGAAAGTGTATTTAAAATAAAAGTTAAAAAATTACTGGGTAGCTTCTGTTTTCTTGTTTACTCTGACTTGTAGGTTCCAGAAGTTGATTCAGTAAGACAATACTAAGGCTTTTATTGGTCTTTTATATACATTCATATACACAGTCTGATGTATTATATGCACAGAGTTTACTCATTCAATCTTTATTATTTTATTAGGCCCCTGAGTTGTTCATGCCTGAGAGAGCTTGGAAAGCTCTGCAGATAGCAGAGGAAAAACTGCTTGGTCCATTAGGCATGAAAACCTTAGACCCAGAGTAAGTATAGTAGAGATAAGAATAAGTGTTAATTACAAAACATGACGGTAGGAATTACTTGACATGTGGGGGTAACAATCCTTTTGTTAAAATCCTTATATATACATGTGAAATAAGGTGTCAATAAGTATTTCTGGAATAATTATTTTGCTGTTCTGAAAGTCCATGCACTTAATTTTATGTCTGTACACAATCACCAGGTGTGTTTTGGATGCCACACAATAAGCAAGTCAAATTTGGTATCTTGAAAGATACTGAATTGGCGTCTTGATATACATACTTTATATATGATACAGTGCACAGCACTGCCGTTTGAGTAAAAGCATAAGGGCAAAGTTATGAATGCAAGTCATTCCAAGACTTGAGCCACTTTACTACTAGTTTAAGCCGTATTTGGAACTCCATGCTCATGTAAATTACAGAACCTGGTAGAGACGTCCCTAACGCAATTTAAATATAAATGCCATGACAAAATTTTGGTTGACTTCTGCTTTCTGTTTTTATGTATAACTTTTGTTACAGCTTTGTTTGGATAATTTGTTTTTTCCTTTCTTGCAGTGATATGGTTTACTGCGGCGTATATGATAATGCTCTTGACAATGACAACTATAATGTAGCCAGAGGTTTTAATTATCATCAGGGACCTGTAAGAGACAGTTTCTTCAATTTTAGAAAAAGTTTTCAAACCTTGTCAAACTGACAGCTGTAATAATAATCTCTTTTCATTCTTTGCTTAGGAATGGCTGTGGCCAATTGGATATTTTCTTCGGGCCAAACTGTACTTCTCAAAGTTGATTGGTCCAGAGATATATGCAAAAACTGTTGTTATGATTAAGAATGTTCTTTCTCGACACTATGTTCACCTTGAAAAGTAAGGCACCAACTAACAGACATTCAAGATACTAATTCAAGCTAGTAGTATCCACTGTCCAATTGCATGTAAAAGTACAGTTCTGTAACAGCGTATGTTTTCTGCATATAAAGTTCACCACTATATGTGCTATCGGAGATCTCAAGTCAGGTTTCAAGTACAGATGAGGTCTAGTGCTTTTTATAGATTGCAGAATTAGTAATATTTTATCTGTGTGAAGACCGTGTGAAATAAATCTTATTACATGATTAGGATCTAATCTCATACAAAAAATGAATTTCAGAATAAACTGTTGGTGAGTTACTTTAAGTATTTCAAACAATGTGCCAAACAAAATAGTCAAATGGCTAGTAGTAACAGATAGGGTGATGCAAAAATATTGTTAGCATTTATTGTGTTTATAAATAAGGAAATTGGTATGCCAGTGTTTCAGAATCTTAATAACCTTGATATTCTACGAAAGCAGAGGAACTCGCTTATGACCCTTAAATGTTCCTTTGCATTTTGAGTTCTCCCTCTTAAAGACCAAATCACCAAATCCATACTATTTTTCCCTTTTTCCTCTCTGTTATATTTTTAGTTATTAAGAACACGACACAAACCAAACCAAACGATACCAAGATCTTGCCCTTTCTCTTCCATATAATCTGTGTTGCAGTACGTCAAATGTGCAATTATTTATACCCGTAAGAGTAACCCAGTAGGACTGGTCATGATAGAAGGGTTTGTCTAGCCACATAAGGAAGAAAAGGAATTTGTTAAGCAACTTTTTGCCTTACCTAGTGTCTTGTCCCAGTGTCTTGTTTGGTTGTGTTACCAAATAACTTGCAGTTTAGTAATGTTCCTTATCTTCTCTGTCCAACTACTTAAGTAGCGTGCTTTTACTGTGTGTTGGTATTGCATTTGTGTACAGAATCATTAATGTAGCATCAGGCTCAATTTACGACTATTTCTTTAAGGATGTTTGTGGGGATTTTTTGTTCCTATGGATTAAAAAAAAAAAAAAAAGACTACTGGAAGACAGTAATCATGCTGTCTTCCAGCCATTACCACTCTTTAGGACCATAATCCAGCTTCAAGTGTAGTTTGAACACCATTCAGTTCTCAAACATCATTTGTATTCTTCGAACTGCAAAACTATCTGAATGAGAAACAGGAGCAACATACCAGTAGTGTAAGTTCAGGTATTATTAGTAGCCAAGAGTCTACTTTGAAGTAGAGGCACCCTCTCAGAAAACAAAAAAATAAAATAAAAACAATTCCCAGCTGCAGGAAACTGAATTAGAACTCAGTTATTAAGTAACATACTGTGCCTGTAGGACAACAGAACTTTAGTCATGGTTTTCAGTTTCCTACTGAGATAATACTGTAAAAGGTTTTAAAATGAAATGTTCTTTTAATTTCAGTGTATAATCTAACAACAATATTTCTTTGGTTTCTCTCTTATCAGATCATCCTGGAAAGGGCTTCCAGAACTGACAAATGAAAATGGACAGTATTGCCCGTTTAGCTGTGAAACTCAGGCCTGGTCAATTGGTGTTATCCTCGAAATCCTTTATGACTTGTAAAAGTTTATTTTGATGGATTTGATGAAACTTCTGTGGTCTTATTATTGGGCATAAATGAACACTTGGCAGCCTCTGCAAGGGAAATGTCCTGTTCTGCACAATCACTTAACCTGGGTCCTGACTTTCAAAGATGCTGAATGCTCGCAGCTCCTATCCCCTCTAACAGTGTAGGGCCTGGAATGTTTTTTGAAAATCAGGCCATGACAATAAAATAAAACTGCAGTGCACACTTGATGCAGAAACTTTTGGTAAGGCGCAATCTGAAGAATATGCACAAACCTTAATTTTAAGTAGCTTTGGTTTTTTAGACTTTTCAAATCAAAACCTTAATGTAACAAAGTGAGGTGGCTCTTTTCTCAGCTACAGCTAAGTTGCACAGCTCTTAAGTTTGTTTCTTGGTTTTTTTTCTTTGTCTCTTTAAGAGTCAGTGGCTGTGTCTTGCAAATGCATGCTTAAAGGGGAATAGACTAACCTGTAGCTTTCTGAGTTTGGTATGCTTTTTGCTGTAGCACCATACATTAATGAAGGCATAATATGTTGTCTCTTAAATGTATTATGGGGAATTTTTTTTGTTTGTGTTCAGCTGAACACACCATTAAGCAACCACAGAAATAAAGTTTGTGAATACTGTAATAAACCAACCTTTGGAGTTATATATAAGTTTTCAAAAAGTTTAAATTACTTTGAGAGTTAAGCAATAATGAAGTATTTTCCCATGCTAGCCCATTTTAAAATTGATTTTAATACTGTGGGCCAGGCAGCAAATCTAGTTATTTAAAGCTTTTTTTCACCATGAGGAATTCCTAAGAAATGTGCATGTGTATACAATGCATAGCCTGTGTGTTAGGGGAGGCCAAAGATACAGAAGTCCATGTGTTTTAACTGTTTAATTAGATTACTTTATAGAAGAGAGATGGTCACCTCAGCCCTTTATTCTTGGGAAAATCCTAGCTGTACTGAAGCAGGCAGAAACGCTTAACATTGGTGGTAGGCTAATACCTCTTTACTACTGAAGAAGGGAAGATGACGTTTCTAGGTCTTTGAAATTGCACCAAGAAAAATAAGCATGCTACCTCTACGTGTTGTACTTCGGGAACAGCATCTAGTGAACATGATGCAAAACACATGTTTTTTTATATTTGGGTGCCTGCATGCCCTTATCGAGTTCAGTTCAGTGTTCCCAAACTGATGGGTCGTTGACAGAAGTGCAGTAGGTAATTCTCAACTCTATTCGTGTGATTTTTCCATCTTAGTGAAATTAACAGCCAGAGAGTGAGGCTGACACCACTTCCCACGTCATAGGGTGGGAAAGCAAAACTGATACTGCATTTCTTAATGTTAGACAACATATGCTGAAATAAAATATACACAGGGATGTAATTATAATGCACTAATAACATGTAGGTCAAGATTTTATTATATCAGTAAAGTTTCCATATCCTGTCTAAAGTACAGTGCAAGTGTGAGGTCTTGTTCAGGGAGTTGTGTTACAGACAGATGAATTGTAAGAAGTGGCTGTATTCACACTGTTTATCTGAAAGGTTACTAAGTATTTGAACACCCTTGCTGAAGTGTTCAGTACTTAGAAGTTATGATTAGGGAAGGTCTATACTGGACCTTAACTACTGAGCTGCTGCAGTATGTGGGTTGGGAAATCTTTATTTTCACAGCACAATGCATGAGAGATGTCATTTGATTGAAAATGTTACTGAAATGTCAGCCACAGATTATTTTTTTAATGTAAAAGAGGCACATAAAATATTCTTCAAAATGCACTGAACTTTCCAAACTTCTTCATAATGATATTGAGGTTTATGTCCTATTAATCACTAGCTTTTTACTGTTTTCTTAGATAATTATTGTTTATTATTTCAAGGTATGTTTTATAGCTTAGAAAGCAGGAACAATATGGCAGAATAAATTGTTCTTACTTGAGGAAACATTTTAAAATTGCAAGTGCAGCTTAAGAGCTATGGCCACTGAAAAGTTCCACAGGGTGTCAAATTATATACACTGGCAATAACACTCAGTGTTGGGGGGTGGGAGAGAAAAGTGATAAATTATTCCTCAAAACCTTCCTGCATTATTACAGATCACTTTCCAGTGTTTTCCAAACTGTACTGCTGATAGAGACTGCGTATTTGTCACTGCTACGGTTTTTTTTCCTAATTTAATAGTAAAATTTTCAAGATAAATCACCACTGTATATCCAAAATTGGGTATGTTATATGGAACTTCTAAGCATGCCCATTTATATTGTTGCTTCTGCACTGATTAGTTGAACGTAGCTTTAGCGGCAGGTCAGTGTTTTAAATAGGAAAAAAATATGTACTATATTGGCTGACTTTGCTGTTAAGTAGCAACAAAACTAAGATTTGAGGTTGGAAGTGTTGGGGAAGGGTTGGTGGTGGTTTATTGCTTTAGGTTTTTGGGGGTATTTGGGGGTTTTTTTTTGGTTGATTGATTTTAATCACAAAGCTACTCAACAATTTTTGAGGCAGGCAGTTTAAAAATGAAGAGGGAAGAAAGCAGTGTTAAATCTAACGCTTATATGAGCTGATACTCATCTGGATAAACGCTGTACCTAAGTCATTATCCCCTAAAAATAGCTGACTTATGTTGACTGATCCTGAACTGTACTTTCATTCACTAGTATTTCATATATTACACACTCAAAAACTTCTAGTAATGCAGAATTATAATCAGTGAAATGTTTTAGAAATAAACAAATATGTTTTAGAAATAAACTACAGACCTTGGTAATAACTGTAGATCCGCTGTGTTCCAGTTGGTGTGTCTTGATTTATATGGCATTGAGACATCTTTTTTTTTTTTTTCCTTCCTCCCAGCTGAAATAATTTTGACTGTTAACACTGATTTATTCAAAGATGAATAACTTGAGAATTCACATAAAATAATGTATCATTCTCACACTGCATGTTGTAATGTAAAATGGAAAGATGTTTTACATGTCTGTTTAGCACAGCAACGACTGATTGTAGAAAATTTCATTATTAATTTATTTCTGAAATGCACAAAATAAAATTCTTTAATTCAGAGTTAACCTTTTCACGTGGTTGTCTGGAAGAAAAGCCAAACACCAGAGATGATGCTGCTTGTTCAGTTCTTGGCCATTTTATGCACATCACAAAATCACAGAATGGTTTGGGTTGGAAGGGACCTTAAAGACCATCTAGTTCCAACCCCCCTGCCATGGGCAGGGACACCCCCCACTAGACCAGGCTGCTCCACATCAGAGAGATCATGAACTCCTCAAGTTAAATATTAATAAGAAAGTACTAACAACAATAATCAACTCATTAAAAACACCCAGAAACTTAAGGCTTATAAGTCTCGGCTGGGTTTGAGTGGGATTGGGCTGGAAGAGCTCTGCGTGTCTCCTCTGCTGTGAATTACTATATAAGTTTACGTCATGGTGTTGCTAATTCCCCAAGAGAACAGTCCCAAGGTATACTGATTAACAGCTGGCCAGGTGATACACAGTTAGCTTTCTGTACAGAATTTCTAAGAACTGTTACTGTAGAGAAGGGATTTTACTTGCTAGCTCTGCAAAATCAGTGTCTGTGCACAGGTGAGAATGTTTTACAGCTACCCCATTTCATTGCATGCTCGGTAAAATTAGGATGTTGCTGGTGCTCTATTCAGGCATTCCCTTTAAGAAAGTTGTTTCTAGTCTTCTGTTGTAAGATACATTTTTTTCAATAGGATATTTAATTATTGTTAAATGTAGAATTGACCAGTTGATGAGTTGCCAGGGAGGGGGGGAAGCCTTGTGGCACCTCAGGCAGCTAAATGGAGGGATAAATGCATGAAGTGTTAGCGCGGACCAGGAAGGTTTCTGCTGAAAGTTCCTTTTGATTGCAGATAGCAATTTGGGAAACCTCTTCAGAGAAGAAATGCGAGATCTCCCCGTGTTGCCATATCGCAGATCACCCTAGAGAGACAGCTATTCTTACCACCTGAGAAAGGGTTTCCCCTTCCCAGGAGGCTGCTTGCTGGGGTGAGGGCTACGTGGGCTGTCTTGCAGCCTCAGGGGGCTGTGGCCCTTGTGCTGGGCAGCATCCCCAGCTCCATCCCTGCAGCGCAGCTGAGCACCCACCCGATGGTGGGAAAGGTGAGGGGCTGGTGTAATTTGTGAGCCCCAGGAGCACTTCCCTTTTCTGTGTCCCCCAGCAATACCTCAGTGCAATTTCAGACAGAGACACTATTCTCCCTACAGTGCCTTTTTGCAATGAGAATAGAAGCTGACCACAGAAGACGACTTGGGCTGCAACCTGGCAAGGGTCTTGCTTAAGTTGGATGACCAAAGCTCCAAGTACTAATAGAGGTAAGTTCCTCATATTAAGTTTTCTAACAAACACGAAGTCCTAAATTTCTGATTTCTAAGTCTGACTTTGGTAAATAAACTGGAGCTTAATTCTGTGTACTGATGAGAAACGATGTAGATAGATACATAGATAGTTGTCGTGGTTTAACTCCGGC